GATATAAACGTGAAAGTTTGAGAGGATGGATGGATGAAAGGCACAGAGATAGATTATATTCTGGAATAGCACAAAGGCTACTTTTTATCCCGGAAAAATGTACAGTTCCCGTGGGATAAATTCGTTTCTGTGTAGGGACGAACCCGAAGTGAAGCGAAGTCGCTAGTAGGCTATAATTTGTACAGATTAGAGCAGGTTCTAGAAATATGTGAGAAACATGGCCACAGGACAGACAAAAATTTTAGATATCTCAAAAGTTATATATTGTACGATATTTTGGAAGATAAATGGCACTGCAGTACTTACAATACATTTTTGTCGCTCAATCTCATACAGACTGGCCAATTACGATAATTCGAAATATAAAAAACGATAATTCGACACAACCAGTGAGTAATCAGACCCTAGGACCGGCTTTATATGCTTTCCGACGCACGTGGGTGTAAAACCGCCAACTTCCCAACTTCGGACTGGATCTTTCTTAAAAGAAGTCTATGAGTAAACTTGGCTCGATCCAGAACTCGAACTGAAGACCTCCGGATAAGCAGCCGTACATTCTAGCTACAATACCACCGAGATAAAACATATAAGGTATATATTATACTAGCGACTCACCCTCGCTTCGCTCGGATTTGTTCCTAGATTGCTTCCCCATGCAAACTTTCATCCCCATTTTCATCCCCTTAAGGGATTATTTTCGGGATGAAAACTACCCTATGTCCTTCCCAGTGTCTCATCCTATCTTCTTACCAAATTTCATCTAAATCGGTTCAGCAGATCCAGAGATTACCCCCTACAACAAGCACACACAAACTCACAAACTTTACCTCTTTATAATATTAGCATAGATACCAATAACCTATGTAGACTACTGCATACATAAATACGTATATTAGTCAAACGAGCTGTAACGACGCTATTATAATTATGCAATCGGCTTTGATAAGAGTCAATGTCAATGCCTTGCGAGTGCCAAATCTAACAGCTGTGAAACAACAAAAACTATTTATATTTAAACTAGCAGAACTCGCGGCTTCGCTCGCGCTAAAACTATTAATAAAATCTCTAAAAAGGTAGGTTTCATACTAACTTTCATCCCCTATTTCACTTGCGGGGTTAAATTTTGTAAAATCCTACCTTAATGGATGTCCTCGTAGTATGAGGAATACGTGTGCGAAATTTCAATTTTCTAGCCTTAAGGGCCTGTGCGTTGATACATCAGTCGATCACTTTTGCCTTTTATATACATACTAGCGACTCACCCTCGCTCCGCTCGGGTTCGTCCCTGGGGTGGGGTCTGGGAGGACCACCCTTATCCTTATCACTTAGGGGTATGGAAAATAGATAGTAGCCGATTCTCAGACCTACTGAATACGCATATAAAATTTGGTAAAAATCGGTAAAGCCGTTTCGGAGGAGTACGGAAACTTACATTGTGACATGGAAATTTTATATATATGATATAGATCAATACTATCTTTACAGATTTTCTCCCGAATTTATTTTGAATTAAGGTATCTATGTCAATCAATCATATTATATGACCTTTTGAGACGTCTGAAACCTTAGTCTCTCCGTGACCATGATTGCTGTAAAGCATTCGAAACATCGGGAACCAAAAACCAAAATAAGCAGAGTGCGGGTTGGCGGACTGAACATGTCTTTCGAAAACTTGCTAGGTTCTCTCAGACATGCAGGTTTCCTCACGACATTTTCCTTCAGTGTAAGGCGAGTGGTAATTATGTTGGAAATGATTCACACATAAGTATATCAGATATGCCAGACCCGGGATTTGAACCTGCTTCAATTGGATTCTTAAACGACCGCGTTACCACTAGGCTACCACTTTTATTAGATATGAAAGTACCAAAATTAAATCCCTTGTTACATCTCTTTCAAAGTAAAGAAATAGTAGGTAAATGATAAAAGTCGAAATGTAAACAAAAAAACCAGAATGCGTTAGTTACGTTTGTATCAAACGCGTAGAGTAACTGTCGATGACGGACAGACACCAGAAGTGGTGTGGTGGCCATAAAATTTTATTATATCTATTTTGGAAATAAAATAATAATTAAAGGGTTTCGTGATTGTATATCGATTTACATATCTATAATATAAATAAATAAATATGTTGGGACATTCATACAAAGCACCATCTAGCTCCATGGTAAGCTTCGAGGCCTGTGTTATGGATACCAGATATTTGATACACTACATAATATTATATAAGTTTAAATACATACATATCATAAATATAACCACCCATGACTGGAGTACAAGCATTCGTGCTCATCACACAAATAAATGCCCCCAGCGGGACTCGAACCCGCGACAACTGGTTCAATAAGTAGGGTAACTATAAACTAATCCAAACGTGTCATTTCTTTTAATTAAGTGGTCTTGAAATACACAAAATTTTATGTCTACTTTTTGAAATCGGTCAATAAAAACACTTTAAATCAAATAAATCAATAAATATATTAGCACAGGAATCAAACCTGTCATAACATTAAAGATAGTGTTAGTTACATCAAAAAATTTCATTCCCCTTAAGTTAATCCATAATTGAACAAAACTTATCTTAAACCAAATTTAAATGGCAACATTAGTCATATTTCAAAGAAAAATAGGTAAGTGGGATCTTAAAAACATTCTTAAAATTATTATATTTTTCTTCGAAATGACTCAGTTTTCGCAATTACTTTGTTTTTATATAAAACATCCGGTATAGCACTATATAGCACTAGCACTAGATACATATAATAAAATTGTAACGAAGCCGAATCTGTACATTAAATATTTTTTGGAAAATCTTATTGAAATAAACAATATTTTCGATACAGAGACCGAATCTATAGTTTTTAGAATTTTTGTCTGTCTGTCTGTTACCGCCTCACGTAAAAACCGCTGGAGGGATTTTGATGGCAGTGATGATAGCTGGTTATCCGGGTCAACATATACGATACTTTTAACTGTGGGAAAATATCTCATCTCTGAGAAATCTATACTAAACGTTAAAACATAACTATTCATACATTTCACTAGTTATGACAATCGATCAAAAACTGGCGAAGATATCACGTAACATATGTACATATAAAAAACAGACGAATGTTCTCCTTTATACAGTCAGTCTAAAATAGTTTTTTTTGTACCACAACACTTCCCATTTAATAACAGATAAACAACTTAATTCAGTATCTCGTAGTTTTGAAGCCGTTGAAAAAGCCATATTCATATTACATAAGTACATTGGTATTATTAATAATAGTCGCAAGATCACTTGCGCACCCAACCACGACGCCCTTACTAGCTTGCTTACGGAGATAGAACAAAATGATCAAAGAAGCGGGAGCACCCGCGATTCATTCTGCTATCAGAGAAGTACCATTTCCTATATATTATGTTGGGCTAGAAAAGCCAGTACCCACTAAAACCCAACAGAAACTCCCCCACTCAACCACGACGCCCCGATGGCTTGCCTGCCGAACCAGACAACAACAAGGAGTTGCTCCTACGGTCCAATCTACTGTCAGAAAAGTACTAGGAGCAACCCGTATGGCACACCTTCCACCACAGTGGCCACATCACAGTGTAAATCTTGGCTTTACGCCCGACTGGATTGCCGGAGAGGAGTTAGACTAGATCATGGACTAGCACAACGGACACTGAGCTGCTAATTAAATTTAATATTAAATATATATCATTTTTGTCTCGGAATAACAAAGAACCCGTTGTCTTCGAAGTAAAACCGAGTTCATTGTGCCACTGAGTCAACGAGGTCAGTGTTATTAGGTCGTGAATAGACCGACGTGTAGGCGTAATCATATTGAAACTGTGTTACATTTTAATTATCAGTAGTGTAAAACAAAATCGCTATTTCCGTTTGTATGTTTGTGCGATTAGCTTTTATATGAGCTTTTATTATCTTTACCAGTAACTGACTGACTAAATGATATCTTGGAAATCGATTTCAACCTATTGTTATATTATTTTTTAGGTATGTGAAATAGGTTACAATAAAATTTAAAGAAAATATTGGTACCATCGATCATCTGATCTGATGCTGGTCGCAGGAGATGGATAGTGGAACTCTTCAATGGCTTCTAGTGAGCGCTCTGAGTTTGAGCTCATTTGATACGCTTTGACGAGTCCCATATGTAATTATTGATCAAAAGTGAGCCCTTAGTATTTTTACATTTTACAAGCTATTTAAATCCTGCTTATATAATCACTAGCGACTCATCCTCGCTTCGCTCGGGTTCGTCTCTAGCTTGATTCCCAATACAAACTTTCATCCCCACTTTCACCCCCTTAAGGGGTGATTTCCGGGATAAAAAGTATCCTATGTCCTTCCCAGGGTCTTAAACTATCTTCTTACCAAATTTTATCTAAATCGATTCTGTAGATCTAGAGATTACCGCCTACAACGTCACAAACTCAATTTCACAAACCCACAAACTTTATATCTTTATAACATTGGTATAGATTTAAGGAAATTATGAATTACAAATATTGAGTATAAACTTCCGAACTACATCTAAGTGGAATACCTTAGTATCTATTCATGGTATATTCTGCCCAAAACCCCTGATCAAGAACTATTAAGAATGCGTATTCAAAGCTTTTTAACGCCCCACTGCTGGGCACGGTCAGGCCATAGTCCACCAAGCTGGTCAAGTGCGGTGTCACATGTCTTTCTAAAACTTGCCAGGCTCTCTCAGAAATGCGGATTTCCTTCACCGTAAAACAAGTTATAATCATGTTGGAAATGATTCGTACAAGAAAATATCAGAGATGCGAGACCAGGAATTTGAAAACTCAGTTTCCCGAGCAAGCATGTTACAACTGGGCTATCTTATAGGTTATGACTTGGCATAATATTATCAATTATATATTTTCCTAAGAGACCTACGTAAGTGGACCAACGGACAAAAACTAGTTACCAATATGATTCAAGGAACACAATCTACTGAATGTTTAATATTTAATACTACTCACCCATCAGCACCAACTAAAGTCTCCTTCGCAGTGACACCATTATAATGCACTCTATTCTCCACTTCTCCATCTATCAGAAAGTCTGTCATGACAAAATTGACTATTTCCCGATTTAGATGACGTCGCAAATATCGAATATCGTTTAAACTTTGCACATCACTAACGTTACGAGATCTGTGACGTATTTTCTCATCACTAATGTTTTTGGATATTTCAACGTCATCACTGTCACAATTAATAGATCCAAGCAATAGTAACAGCAGTACCGGAGTACGCAGCATCTTCTTCCAAGTTATGTTTATGGGCGACTTTTTCTTTGCTTTTGGTGATTTTAGTTCCATCGCTGATCTGTAACAAGGCATTTGATCTTAAGCTCCAAACTCTATCCAAACTAACATAGGTTATCTAATAATTATATTATTATGAAGAAATTATTGACGTCATATAGCATAGTAATACATAAGCATATGTTCAAGATATTTTATGAATAATAATCGAATCCCTAGAACAGATGATTTTTGTCCCAATCAAATGATAGATCGTAATTGTGTCATCTCTTAATGATAACAAACAAACAAACAAATATCGAATATTAATACGCATTAGAATGTATATTTATGTTTTGATGAAATTCCGGATTTCTACTATCGCGTTCACACGTTATCTTCATGTCAAGGTTATCGTATTATGATATATAATTGTGGATCTCATAACTTATTTGTGTATCCCCTGTGGGGTAAATAGAGAAAATGTTAAAACCATTAAAATCTTTATTATAAACTAAAATTTAAATGATCAGATAAATAAAACTATGCTTTTGGATTTTTTCGCGGATTTATTTTGATTTTTGGTTCCCGACGTTTCGAATGCTTTACATCAATCATGGTCACGGGAGTGACTAAGGTTTTAGATGTAACAAGTATATACTTTGACCTTTGAGACGTCTAAAACCTTAATCTCTCCCGTGACCATGATTATTATAAAGCATTCGAAACTTCGGATAACAAAAATCAAAATAAACCCGCAAAATAATAGTTTTATTCAAAATGACCAATATTATTCTTGTCGTTTGTTTTAATTATTGTTTTGTTGATCCACGGTTTCTATTTTCAACCATTTTATTATACTACTGCTGGATATGAGCCCTTCAATTTACGGGGCATCAGATACAGATCACCACGTGGATTGTTGGATAAGTGCGAACTGGCGGACTTTACATGTCTTTCGAAAACTTGCTAGATTCTCTTAGACATGCAGGTTTCCACACGATCCATCACGATGTTTTCCTTCACCGTAAGTCAAGTGGTAATCATTAAAATGATTCGCATAAGAGAATATCAGAGGTACAAAATCCGGGATTGAAACCCGCTTCACTTGGTTTCCCAAGCAAGCGCGTTACTACTGGTCTACCTGATCTACGGAATACTTCAATTTTTTTTTGATATTTAAGATGATGCAATTATTATGTTTTAACAATGAATAATATCAAATTTAGTAGTTTCAGAGATTAGTACGTTCTAACAAAGAAAGTCTCCAGCATTATATATTAGGAACTAGCATTGCCCGCGGCTCCGCCCGCGTTCAGATAACCAAAAACCAAATTCTTTGGTTTTACATATTAATATACTCTTACAATGCAGTTTTTGATTTTTTTCTCAGAAATTAGATATTTTCTCGCAGTAAAAAGTATCCTATATGTTGACCCGGATAACCAGCTATCACCATACCAAATTTCATCAAAACCTCTACAGTGGGTTTTCTGTGATACGGTAACAGACAGACAGACAGACAGACAGACAAAAATTGTAAAAACTATAGATTCGGCCTCTGTATCGATAACAATGTCTATTTCAATAAGATTTTCGAAAAAATATTTAATGTACAGATTCGGCTTAGTTACAATTTTATTATATGTATAGATTAGAATAGATTGTTTATAATAATATCTGTAATAAGTTAATATTTAGTTTGTAATTTATGAAAAGTATCGCTTTTATCATATATGCAGTAAGTAGGGTATAATTATATCTTATCAATGTCTGAAATGGACAGATTGCAATACGTTACACGGCAGATGAGGCAATATATGTACTCATTTTTAGGGTTCCATAAACGGTGTAAAAACGTTTCAAAATAACCACTTAAAGTTTTCTTGCATTCGAGGCTTTATTGTCTGTAAATATAAAAAAAAATATATTACCCAAAACCCACATTTACGTAGCCCCAATTCGCACTTTACCATCTCTATGAAAAAATCACTATCGTTAGTTCCGTTGCTGTGTTTAATAAGATCTATACATATAATAAATTGTAACTAAGCTGAATCTGCACATTAAATATTTTTTTGAAAATGTTATTGTAATAAACATTATTATCGATACAGAGGCCGAATCTATAGTTTTTAGAATTTTTGTCCGTCTGTCTGTCTGTTACCGCATCACGGAAAAACCACTGGAGGGATTTTGATGAAATTTGGTATGATGGCAGCTGGTTATCGGGACCAACATATAGGATACTTTTTTCTGCGGAAAAATATCTCAATTTTGAGAAAAAATACAAAAAACTGCAATATAAGAGTATACTAATATGTAAAACTTAAGAATTTGGTTTTTGGTCATCTGAATGTGGGCTGAGCCGCGGGCAATGCTAGTCGAACTATAAATATACCAGGAAACACACTTTCACATATTATTAATGTAAGGATGCAACATTTGCTACGCTCCAGAATCAAACCCACCATGTTTACTGGAAATAATGGATTATTCATACACAAAAATAAACTAAGTAGACAGTGCAACCACCTGTTCGAGATTACACTATATATAAAATGCACTATTATAGTGCGATTGAACACCAATTATGTATATGTTGCAGGGAAATTGTAAAATCCGTTAAATTATAATTATTCTAGTGAAATTGTTAATACTCACTATTATTCTACTATTAATGTGTTATGGATACCAGATAATTGATACACTACACATATATAACTTTAAATACATACATACATATTATAAATATAAACATCCATGACTGGAGTGCAAACATTCGTGCTCATCACACAAATGAATGCCCCCAGCGGGACTCAAACCCGCGACCGCTGGCACAGCAAGTAGGGTCACTACAAACTGAACCAAACGTGTCGTTATTATTCACTAGTGATATCATAATTTCATCATTAAATCAGTTTAAGTAATTATAATTTAACGGATAATTACCCGGAATGTTGTCAACCGTCTCCTTTTCTTACAATATCACGGAATATTTTTAGGTAAATTATAATTACGTTAAAAAGGGCTGAATACAAATTATAATTTCCCTAAGGATATCAGTGAAATTATAATTACTCTAGCTAAATTGTCAATAGTAGATATACCAGGATGTGGCAATCCTCGGTCCGTTTTGATTGGTCGATTCATTGCGATCATTGAGTTTAACTAGTAAAATTATAATTTAACGGATCTTACAATTTCCCTGCGACATATATCACTAAATTTTAAAATGTTTAAAGTTAAAATATTGTAATGTAATTGGTGCAATTTTCATTTTGTTAATTGTGGGTAGGCTGTCTGTAACAACTATACCTTCAAGACATGTAACACCTCAGTCTCTCCCGTGACCATGGATGCTGTAAAGCATTCGAAACGTCGGGAAACAAAAATACAAATAAATCCGCGACAAAATCCGAAAAGATAGTTTTATTTAAAATGTCAAATATTCGCGTAAATCTAAGAAAGTATTAAGTATCACTAAATATCATAAATTAAAGTTAGTTCGGGCTAATTTCTAACTACTGGACAAATTTTCATGCGGTTTTAACCAACAGAAAGAGATAATATCTAGGAAAAAATTAGCTAAGGCTTACGTTCTCTCCAATACGATGTACTATAAACTTTCCTATTCCTGAGAATCGAACTGAGGACTAATTTATCTACTAGAGTAACTAGGCAGTAGTAAGCTATACTGTTAGTGGAAAACTTACACGGTCATGTTTGTATATTACGTATGTAGGTTTGCATTTATCGCGTGATGTTACGTTTAATTTTCATGTATACGTCATGGTGTAGAAATTATATCAGTGGGTATAATAAAAACTTAAAAAAAAATTAAAACCGACTTCCAGGCACTAAAATGTAAAAAATAACTAAACGGAGGTTTGCATTTAGAATAGATACCTAATAAGATATTTTCAAAGTCGGTGCCAGCCGATGCAAAGCAAATCTAATATATTTCGATACGTAATATATATATATATTTACCTATTAGATATTCATATCTTAAAATATTGTCCGCTGACACCGATTACGAAAATATCTGATTAGGCATCTATTCTAAATGAAAACCTCCGTTTAGTTATTTTTTACAATTTAGTGCGTGGAAGTCGGTTTTATTTATTTTTTTTAAGTTTTTATTTTTATATTTTTAGTGTAGACGTAATAAGCAGGTAATTTGTAGGAAGAAAGTTTTTAATAACACATTTGATTAAACAATTTGTTTAAAAAAATATTTATTGTTGTTTTTATTTAAAAACCGCTCAACCGATTTCGATAAAATTTATATGGGACCACCTGGAATGTACACCCTTTCAAACAAAACAATTTTTTTCCAAATCAATTCGGCGTCTTCGAGTAATCGGTGACCATACATAAAAAAAAAGAAAAAAAAAGATTCCGACGAATTGAGAACATCCTCCTTTTTGGAAGTCGGTTAAAAATGGCATCATTACGTACTATCTGCTCCTTTAAAAGACTAGCAACTTACCCTTGCTTTGCTCAAGTGTCTTAAGTGTGTTTTTAACCCCCGACGCAAAAAGCGGAGTGTTATAAGTTTGACGTCGAAGTCTGTCTGTCTCTGTGTGTGTGTGTATGTCTGTGGCATCGTAGCTCTCAAACGGATGTACCGATTTCGATGCGGTTTTATTCGTGTGAAAGCTAGTTTCCTTGCGGTGGTTCTTAGCTACGGTTAGTTAATATCAGTCCAGCAGTGTAAGAGTATCAGCTCTTTACCAAAATGATGTAAGGCATTTTGGCGTATGATTACTCGATTAAGTGCTTCACGCGTGCCAGTGTAATCGTTAAATGACAATTAATTTGCGTAGGGGTTTTTTTAAATTTTTAATATTTATAATTATTGCCATACATTTTATTGCTTAAATTCAAATCGTTTAGGCAGCGCATGCAGATAAGAACAACTCAAAGGCCAGTTATTTGTTGTTATTATGATATATGACAGTAAACACATTTTAATCAAAATAAAAAATAGCCTATTAGCACTCGGCGGTAATGTAGCTTCCTATTAGTGAAAGTATTATCAGAATCGGATCAATAGTTTCAGAGATAGCCCCCTACAAATAAACTAGCAA